ATAATAATAATAATAATAATAATAATAATAATAATAATGAAGTTTGAAGGAAACTGCCATGGATAAGGGTTTTTCTTTGGAGGACAACAATTTTTAGGGGTTTTAAGAGCAAGCTTTTCTACCATGTGGTAGATTTCTCTCCCCTTGTGAATGTTCTAGTTTTATCTCTTTTTATTAGTTTTTGTTTTCCTCCAGTTTGGTGGGGATTTTATTCATGGAGGCTCACCTTGGTCCATGGGGTCAACTAGGTCACAGGAAACAGAAGTAGCGACGGATTGGGCTCGGAGTGCAAGTTCAATCGTGAATGTTTCCTTTGTAGTGGATCGTGTGAAGGAGTGATAAGCAGCGACTATAGGCCCTTGGGTGGCTGTATAAGTAGTGGAACCATTGGTGGTGGTTTGGTGAGGAGGGCTAGGTCTACAAATGGTCGTCATGGAGTGAGTAATCTCTCCATTGCTGTCCAGGAGGAAACAAGACAAAGTGAGTGCACGGTAGCAGCAATGGTAATGGTGGCAGCGGTAGGGGTGGAACTCTGTTTCGAATTTGTCAACAAGTTTGAATTGTGAAATAAGATTGAGGTGCTATTTTTTTTACGGAAAATGATTTCTGTATAAATTTTTTTCTTTTTTTTTTTACAACTTTTTTATCCCTCTTTTTTGTATAATTTTTTTGTCCATCTTTTTCGTACAACTTGATATATCATTTAAATAATTAGTTTTTTTAATTCACGTGAGATCTATAATATTGAATGTATTTACTCATTTAATAATATGTGAAAATTATATAAAAATATAGTATAAAAAAGTTATTTTTATAATACCACCCAGTTTTTCACCTAATTTATTTTCCTAAAAATCAGAAGATTGAGATAAGTTTGGAAAGTATGAAGATAAATGAGATATCAACCACTCTTAATTAAATGTCAATTAAGGATATTGATGGAGGGAATGTAGGAAGTGCTATTATTTTAAAATTTTGCATTTCCTTGGATAATAATTTTTGCGATCCTATAATGCAATATATGATTGTTTGATTATAGATAGTGTTAAGGGGTGTTTCGCGGTGTGGTTTGGTTCGAATTTTATTATTTTTTAAATCAATCCAATTTAATCGGTTAATAAAATTTTTAAACCAATCCAATCCATTATTATGTAATAACCAAACCAATCCAATTTAAATCGGATCGGTGCGGTTCGGTTGGATTGATTAGTTTTTAACATTATTAAATATATAAGATAATGTAAAAATATTTTAATATCAAATAGAAAGTATAACTATAAAAAACATTAATATCCAAATCAGTAAAAATATAATAAACTATAAAAATTATAAACGAATTCTTATACTCCTTTACATTTGTAAAAATTGAAAAGTTCTAAAAATTCTTTTTCGTTATATCACTAAAGGCACCAAAAACAATAAAAAATAATTTCAAATTTCTACCACAGCGTAAATAACTCTTGAAAGTTAAAATTAATTTTTTTCTTAATACACTAATAATTTAATCACATTTTCTAAATCATGTTAAAAATGAATAACATTTAACATGAATATTACTAAAATCGATTAGAAGCATTCAAAATCAAAATTTAAAACTTCTAAACCAAATATCTAAGAATAGTTGAATATTAAAACTAATTTTATTGTATGGTTTTAAGGTTTTTAGAATAATACTTATTTAAAACTTAGTTAGGAAAATCATAAAATTATTTTAAGAATAAATTAGAAATTTAAGGTTTTAAGAGTAAAGGTGCAAACCAGTCCTGAGAGAATAGAGTTGCAAGTGAATTAAAAATTTAGAATTAAAGTTAGAGTGTATGATTAAAATGGAGAAATAACTTAGGAAATATAGAGATGTTCTATTCTTATTTTTTTAATTAAGTTAATGGAGTTATAATCTTGTAAAACAAGAAAAAAAATTAAAAATACTACAAAAAATATGTTATATTATTTACTGAAATTATCTTCTAATCGGATTTTATTTTATAATCAGACAGTTTGGGCGGTTTGAAGGTAAAATTACAAACCAAACCAATTATATCAGTTTTAAAATTTTAAAATTCAAACCAATCCAATTTTATATCGGTTTGGATTGGTTTTTGATTGAATCGGATCAGTTTAAGTCGGATCAATCGGATTGGATCGGATATGAACACCCCTAGATAGTGTGTGGGCTTATAGTAACTTGAGGGCTTTTTTTTAGGACTTTTTCAAGTTATTCATTTAGGTTCTTGAGAACAATATAATACTTAAATCATATTATAGTGCATAGAGCAATGTCGGGTTCCTGAGACTCCCTTGAATTTTACTTCTTTAGGTACTACACTACTTAATTATAGAAATACCAGCCCTGAATGGCAATTGATGACGATTCTAAAATGTTTTATTTTCCTTTGCTATCATACTTGTATTTCATGATATTTGCTAATGAATCATTTTTCATCAATAATAATAATAATAAGCACCTTCAAAATAATTTCAAGAGCCTATTCTTTTGAAAGTAGGATTGTATTAAATTACGAAACAAGAATAATTTAATGTAGATATATCTCTCAATATTAGAGAATTTATCTTTTATCTAATAATTTAAGTTATATAGTTTTGATACAGTTCAAACTACTTATCACTTTTTATTTAACTTAAATCAAAATAACACAAAAACATGGCATTTGGACGTTTATGAAAAGACCACAAACATCATGCCCAATATCGACAAGTATTCAAAGCCGGCCAGAAAAAGGAAAAAAATCAAGAAGCATTCAACAAAGTTTCAATTGGAAAGAAAAAATGTCGGTAGAGAGGTAATCAAAACAAGATACTTCAAACCAAAAGTCGTTGACATATTATTGCCACATTATTATTTCATCCCAATTCCATATATAGGAAATTGTTAATGCCCACCATATAGACTTGAACTTGTTTTTAGACCAATCACCTACATCCTTGGCTTGGCAATCACAAGAGTTCCAGTGCCTGCACCCGTATTCATAGCTGCTGGCGTTGTCCATGTCTCCTTAAATTGCTCCTCAGTCACTCCTGCACACAAAAAAAAATAAAAAAAGAAAAAAAGAACTTTTGTTAGATTTAAGTGTCATCACCATAGGTTTTAGTTTCAAGTCTTATTTTGTACAACTTGTCCGACTTGATGGTAGTCTGTTAAAGAAAAGCATTTGGTTGGGGAGGAGAGTTTTCCCCATCATTCCCCGTTGCTTAGATTATTCCGGATTATTCATGTGTTTTCAATTCACCCATTAATATTACAATAAAAAAGGTAAAAATTTTAATCTTTTCATTTTTCTAATATAATTCCCCAACTAATAAACTTTTTGCAAAGTTTGTACCCACAAAAAAAAAAAAAAAAAAAAAAAAAAAAAAAAAAACAAAGAGAAGAAAAGAAAAGATGTTGTACTCTAATTTAAGATGTTTATTATGCATAATTACCTTTGCCCATAGCAGCAGTAGAAGAAATTCCTCCCTGGACGGTCTTGAGATACCTATCATAATAGTTAGCACCAGACCATTTCTGGTGAGCCAGCGTGTCTACTTCATTCTTCCTTTCCTCCCTCTGTATCTTCTCCACGTACGCCAACATACCCCTCCGCGCAAAATCCTTTGCGAACGTATCCGTCACCAGAGCATCAGCATGGAAACCACCCAGCGTTATGAACTGCCAACAATAACCCATCCTGGCAATTTTCGGAATGAACTCCTTCATCTGCTCATCCGTCATCCCAGAGGCATCCCAGTTGAATGATGGCGACAGATTGTATGCTAGCATGATCTCCGGATGCTTTGATTTCACCCCTTCTGCAAACCGGGTACACTCCACCACATCTGGCGTCGATGTTTCCATCCAGATAAGGTCAGAGTGGGAAGCGAAAGCCCAGCCGCGGACAATCGCAGCCATTACTGACCCTTTAAACCTGTAGAACCCTTCTCTGGTTCTGGGCAAATCCCAGTCCCAGAAGAGGTTATCGAGTCCTAATCTTTCTGCAATCTCTCTTGCTTGCTCGTTGGACAGGTACTTGTCGAACCTGGAATGGTTCATCCATTGGTTTAGTCTCTTCCTCTTTTCATCCTCCCCAATATTCATGTTCTTGATTGCGGCCACCACGTGTTCGGAGAAAGTCTTCAGTTGTGCCGCGGCTATCCAGTTGTCTTCAATGGCTTGAAGTTCCGCTCCCGTTTTACCCGCAGCCATTGCTTCTGCCAAGAGTGTAGCTAGAGGTTTGCCTCTGAGATTTGGGTTGGTGACACCTAGAATGAACTGATGGTCTCTGGTGTCGACATTGGTCTGGATCAAATTAGCAGCAACGGCATCAGTCCTGGCTACCAAGACTGTTTCCACCCCCATAATATCAAATTGTAGTCTTGCTGCGGCAAGTCTATTGATGTGTTCACTGACAGAAACGAGCACTTTTCCGGCCATGTGACCGCATTTTTTGGTAACAGAGGACTGGTCCTCGATGTGGACACCCGCAGCACCACGCTCCACGAAAAGCTTACAAAGCTTGACAGTTGCTGTGGTGCCACCAAATCCGGTATCACCATCGGCTATGATAGGTTTCAGGTAATCCACATAAGGGGTTCTGGCTCTTTCCTCACGGTTCATGCTCATTCTTGCTTCTCTCTGTTTCCTGTCATGGTATTGTTGCGCAAAGAAAAGGTGTTCGACCTTATTCGGGACAGTGTCATAGGGGTAATCAGCAAGGTCGGGACCAGGTTCATTGGTTGTGGTGTGGGTGGAGGAACACTGCCAGCCAGAAACATAGATGGTGTCAAGATGTTTAGCCATCATAGCAACCTGGACAGGGTCGAGCGCACCAAAAGTCCTTGAGGCGGTGCCATTGGCTTGGTGTGTCTTGAGAGTTCTCCAGAGCTTCTTCGCCATCTCATTTGAGCCATAACTTTGCCTGAGGTTACCTCGTAAAGCTACTACATCTCTTGCTGAATATGGTCGCCGCATTAGCTTGAACCTCTCTGAGCTCCACCATGCTTGCACCTCTGCTACTTCTGCTTCAAACCTGTCTTCTTCTTCCATAATCTGCAATTGATGTTAGATATCCTTTCATTAATAATCTTGTACAATTTGGGGAAGGGACAGATTGCTTTCTCCGTAGGAGAGAAGTAAGTAGTAGTCCAAAAGTATTTTGTTAGTATTGGATAAAAATAAAGAATTAAAAGTAGTAGTAGTAGTAGTAGTAGTAATAGAAGAAGAAGAAGAAGAAGAAGAAGAAGAAGAAGAAGAAAATAGTAGAAAGATCATATGGACGCCTGATCTTCTCTTTTTGTTCCAATTTTCTAAAAATGCGGATGAATAAAATTGCAGGGTAGCCCATTCTTAAGAAAAGAGTCCAAATTGGAAAGATCATTTTGAAATAACAAATTGAGAAAGAGAGAGGTTTCAATCACTATATATACCACTCTATTCTACCTAGCTGTTCTGAGCAAATAGGAAAATGTGGAGCATCAATAACAACCATTGTCCATTGAAAACAAAACTGAGAAAAAAGGGCAGGAGCACCTTGCTTCGTTTCATCAGAAAGATAACCTCAACACTCCTTCAAGAGCGAACATTAATCATGACCCAATGTGAAATCCCAGTTTCACAAGAGTACTTCCTAAGGAAGTGCTTGAATTGAAATGCAATGCAAAAGGCAAATTAGGGAAGTTTATGGAGCTTACCATTGAAGGCACCGAGAAAGAGGGAGCCATGGATAGAACTTTGGTGTTATAAAGAAATTACACGGAAAGAGCAATTGTGAGAGGAGTTCATGAAATGTGCGCAAAGGGTCCCCAAATTTATAAGACAACTTGGGTAAAAATTGGATAAAGAGAATAAAAAAATATAGCCATAAAAAGAAAGAAAATCTCATTTTAACTAACTTTCTTTCTTTCCTTTTTTGTTTTTTTGTTTTTTTTTTTTTTGTAATAAATATTATTCATATTGTTTTGTGAGGGAAAAGACCGTGGGATGGGCACTGCATTTCCAGGCAACTACGATGATGACATTTCTCCCACTATGTTAAGGGGCACCATACTCTTGTCTTCCCTTATCTTGCATGACGCCACTAGTTTCATTCATCTACAAAAAACAGATTTCTGTTATTTCCTTTTTCTGTTATAAGATTATTCCCAATTAAAATTCATTTATAAGTGTTGTGTTGTATTGTGTTATAAACTTATAGTAATAGGTTTTTTTATCTTTTATTAGTTTAAAAATATATAAAATATTAATTAAATTAATAAAAATATATAAAAATTAATTATAGATTTATATTTTTAAATTGGCGATGTGTGAAAAAGTCTGCAAAAAGCACTATTAAATGGAATTTTAAACTAACTCCTTCGTTGTGGAACTAGAATATGACTTCTTGGAAAATGTTCCTTATAGTCTAAAATGGCAAAATAAAATGTCAGTTTAGATATTAGAAGTGATTACAATACCTTCATTGCCTCTAATTTCAAGGTATAATTAAAAAAATATTGCAGTCATTTAATTTCAGACTTGCATTCTATTTATTTTGTCAATTTGAACCGAAAAAAAGGCATTTCTCATAAACCCGATCCTCCCTGAAGTAGTTATACTTTTGTTCTTGTCCAGCAATTGATGGGTGGAGACTACCATTTCCTAGATTTTGGATTTTGCTCCCTCCTTAAGCTAGCGTTAGCAAGTGTGATTACTTGGTAGTTTAGAATGTTCATAATGGTAATCTCTATTTAGGTAGCTGTTATTGCCTTTACGGGGACCACATATGTAATGTATATTTATAGTTAGCTCTTTTGCTTAATTGTCGAAACTTGTCATACATGAACTCTTCTATTGTTGGTGTTGTAGGTCAGTTTCTTTTAAGTATGGAAGCACCTGAGAATAAAGATTATCTTTGTAATCTCTCTTTATTTATCAAACTCATGATTTAGTATAAAAAATGGTTTGTTTTAGGAATAACAATTCCTCGCAAACTAACAAGCCAGTAGGGCGTGTTTGGCTGCTAACAATACTTTCTTTCCATGTGGAAGAAAGTTTAAGACTATTTTAGTATTTATGCACCTAATATTATATCAAAGCAATTCTAAAAGTGATATTTTAGCATATTTTTATACCTCACATGATTACACCATTGCCTGAGAGCTAATCTTTGCTTTCCACATTTTTGTTCACGAATAAGTTTCCAAAAATATTAATTTTTCTCATTGGGATTATCAAGTTACCCCTTACTAATATCAATTTCTTATCAAATAATTTAATGTAACAATTCCGAGAAAACATCATTAATAAAAACTAAATTTTCAAACATTACATTTCCAATAACTTTTCCAACAATAGTTCCGAAGAAAGTTTACCTCGTGATCATAAGAGAAAAAATCCAATTTTGATTAAATAAAAAAGGAATCACTTTTCCAACAATAGTTCCAAAGAAAGTTTACCTTGTGATCATAAGGGAAAAAAATCCCATTTTGATTAAATAAAAAAGGAATATGTGGTTTAAATATTAGATTAACTACTCTATTTATTGTTAATTGATTTTAATTGAATACTCATTTTGTATAATATTCAATCTGCCTGATAAGTTTCAAAGGTCATATTAAGATTGATCATGTGTGTCAGTCCACAAGACAAGTGCTGATGGTTATATTGAGTTTCGAATAGGAGTCGAAGGTAATATTAGTCCTGCACATGATTAGGGCATATTAAGTCCATATGATAAATGACAAATTTCAAAGTTCATACCAAATCTATATTAAATCTAGCACCCCAATTTTCAAATTAATGTCCTTGCTAGGGTTCAAACCACGGTTGTGATAACACAAAGGGTTAGATATACAAATAAATAATTATTGTTTTGTAGGTCAAGTCAAAAACTTAAGTTTTGGGGTTAGTAATTAAAAAAATTAGTTTCTCAAATACATTAAGTTAACGTGGAAGGTGCACTTTTATGACTAGGTGAGGAGGAATTAATCTCAAGATATGTAAATTTTAACTCAAAAACACATTATTGATCAAAAAAAAAAAAAAAAAAA